AATGCCGATTTGAGAGGCCCAAAGAGGGAGAGGCCAAAATAAAGGGGTAAAGACCTCCAATATCGAGGTCGGATGAATCGGAGAGAATAGAGTGAATGTATCAACCAAGCGCTACTTAGCCTTGAAATCAATATATTGAGAGCAACACGGTGGATGTAGCCCAATTTTGATAGGTGAACCACTTGCATCTTTGTATCCATTTAATTTCAGCCCATCTCCTAATCCCATCTACAATCATTTAATTAAATTTGTTAACCTTACAATTTTGAGCGATATTACCAACACTAAGGGGAGGGAAGTAGGCTAAGCCTCACAATGAGCTAACTATGTGGTTCAAATTCGCATTTGGCGAGAATTGAACCTAAAACCTTTCACTTATAAGTGAATAGAAATACCACTAGACCGTAGTACTAAGGGGCTAAAATTCAACAATATTAATCCTCAAAACTTGGATTAGAAATGAAGCCCGCCCTTTCTAAAAGTAAAAGCCACCTTTTTCCATCTCAACACGACAAAGCCATATTTTCAGTTAACGTGAAAGCAATTCCTCTCCTAACCAATTCCATCTCTTATATTTCTCTATAAATACACACCAAATCTCCCTATCACAAAAACCACAAATTACGACACAATTCACAAATATCATTTCTATAAACTCCGTCAAAACATACTTTAATTCGAAAAATGGGGGGTTCTACTAGCTCTTCCTCTAAATCCAAGACAACCACAACCAAAAACAAAAGCATCAAAGACAGAACATTAACATGCGCAGGCAACCTCATCAAGCTCCTCCCAACCGGCACGGTCTTCTTGTTCCAGTTCCTCAACCCTGTCTTGACCAACAACGGCAAATGCACCGCTGTCAACAAATATCTAAGCGCCATTCTCATCGGTGTTTGCGGCTTCTCCTGCTGTTTTTCTTCCTTCACAGACAGTTACACAGGCAGTGATGGACAAACACACTATGGGGTGGTAACAAGCAAGGGGCTTTGGCCCTCGACAAGTTCCAACTCTGTGGACTTGTCTGCTTACAAGCTTAGGTTTGGGGACTTTGTGCATGCCTTCTTTTCCTTGATTGTGTTTGCAGTTGTGTCACTTTTGGATGCCAACACTGTCAGGTGCTATTATCCAGGGTTTGAGTCCACCGAGAAGATTTTGCTACAGGTGTTGCCTCCGGTTATAGGTACAATTGCCGGAACTGTTTTCTCTGTGTTCCCTAATAAACGCCATGGAATTGGGTACCCGTCTTCAAGTTCTGATTCTTCACAGGATTCGGAGTCGGCAGCTTCCTAAGCTCTTGAACTATGACTTGATTCTCAAGACTCAAAGTGGTAAATATAACTAATAAACGCCATGGAATTGGGTACCCGTCGTCAAGTTCTGATTCGTCACAGGATTAGGAGTCGGCGGCTTCCGAAGCTCTTGAACTATGACTTGATCCACAAGACTCAAGTGGTAAATATAGCAAAAGTGTGTGCTCACGCAAGTTTGTGGTTTTCATATTGTTTGTTTAGTAGTTTGCCTAAGTTTGATTAATCCTTTTTCCTTCTCTCTTTGGAATGAATGTAACATGTTTTTACGGTGTGCTAAACTTTCAATTTATAAATTAAAACTTGATCTTAATAGGAAAGGAACAATCTTTTATACCGTTGGATAAAATTCGGGCGTAAAAATTAACGACAAAAATGCAAAACTGACTGATAAGATCGACAAGTGAAAAGTAAAACAATTATGTAGAACTTTCTTGCATGAACCAAGGAAACCTGGTAATAGTTTCCGTCTTTCGTCATACTAATTGAAACAAAATCAATGCCACTAACAATATAATCTATGAAACTGGATCTTATGCACGCTGCCGATGATACATAAAACTCATAAACTGTTCCTTCTTTTTCGTTTACAACGGTTGAGGTGTGTACTACCAATCTAAACGATTTTCAGCTTATATGATGTCAAAGATATTATATTCTTACATCAGCAAACAATCCATCTAAAAGGTTGGAAGATGAATTGTCATTTCCACTCTCATCAAAGAAACCATTAGCAGCAAATTCTTTTCTGCATTTTCGCTCTTCAATGACAGAATCTGCTGTTTCTGCACAAAACTTCGTCTTGTCTGCTTTAACGGTTTCTCTGCCACAATAAACTTGTTCCCTTCACGAGTCCTCTCAGGCCCAAACTGAAGATAAACGTGGGTGGGAAATTTCATAAGTTGAACACAAGAAGAATCATAAAAGTAGTGTAAAATTATACCTACATGTGGTTGACGTAGTTCAAAAGGAAAGATTTTCTTATTCTGATCGGTGTTGGTTATCAAACGTAAACTAGTTTACTTTCTATTAAACCGTGAAATAATCAAGTTATAAAGAAAGGTATGATTATCTTGTGCACTACTAACTCTAAGACTGGTAAGTTGAGTCAAAGTTCAAACAATTTTGGTCCCTAAGAAAAGTTATCTTATAGTCTCATCTTGTTTAGCTAGGTCTTAAAACTAAAGGTCTACCTAGATGTAGAAAATTACACCTGCATGTGGTTGGCATAGTTCAAAAGGAAAGATTTTCTTATTCTGATTGGGTGTCGATTATCAAACGTAAGCTCACTTTCTATTCAACGGTGAAATAATCAAGTGAGAAAGAAAGGAAGAATTATCTTGTAAACTACTAAGACTGATACAGTAGTTTCGGTCTGTTAACGCAAGGTCCTTTCTAACCTCAAGGGGCCCAAAGAAACACCAGCCCAAAGTAGCACAGCCCCAAAGGATGGCCAAGCCCAATGAGGCTGGGAAGACGATCCAGAGCACTATGGGAGTCAACACACGACAGTCCAGATTGCCTATCAGCAACTAGGCTGAGCGCCTAGTAATTTCCCTAAAAAGTGCAATTTGGCGCGAAGTGCAAACTGACAAGTTCTGACTAGAGAATCGCACAAGTTCCTAGGAATAGAGGGGCAAGCCTGCTCAGACATCAACTCTATGACACGTGGCAGCCATCCGAGGGAATAGAAACCTATGAAACGACATATAGGGCGCTGCGTGCGGGTTTCTACCACCTCCAAACCCAAACATGGTGCTCGGCTTCCGTTGTCCCAAGAAAGTATGCAAGTGGACCTGCACAAATGTCACTTTGTCACTACGTGTCGAGCAAAGGGCAGATGAACAGCTAGCAAGTCAAATCTATGTAATCGACGCATTAAATGCAAAGGAAAAAAGAGGTTTGAGCAAGGAAACTGAAGGCTCATTGAGGGCCTATAAAAGGACATGATACTATATATTCTGATATGATTTCGTTGACAATGCAATATTCTAATTTACAAAAAAGAGAATTGGAGTTTGAATAGAAATAGATGGGAAGACTGTCATGACCAATTGAACTGGCTCCATATGTATCTTGATATGATTTATGTATATAAGATGCACAACAATCTCAATTTTTTCTTGTTTAAGTCCCTTTATTCAATATTCTTTAAGGATACGTATCCTCAATATTGGGAGTACAGAAATTCAACAACATTAATTTTCAAAACTTGGATTAGAAATGAAGCGCATCCTTTCTTAAAATAAAAGGTAGTGCTATTTATACATTTCTTTTTACTTCTTATTTACTTTTGTTAATTTTTGTCCATTGATCTTCTTCAATTGGCCAAAAATTGAAAATGTGAGTGAGAAGTAAAAATAGGTCTACGATAGCACCACCCAAATAGAAGCCACCTTTCCATCTCAACACGACAACGCCATGTTTTCTGTCAACGTGAAAGCAATTCCACTCCAAGTCAATTCCCTCTGTTATATCTCTATATAAATACACACCAAATCTCTCTCACAAAAACCACAATTTACAACACTTTAATTCTGAAAAAATGGGGGGTTCTACTAGCTCTTCCTCTAAATCCAAGACAACCACCACCAAAAACAAAAGCGTTCACAACAGAACATTAACATACGCAGGCAACCTCATCAAGCTCCTCCCAACCGGTAGTCTTCTTGTTCCAGTTCCTCAACCCTGTGTTGACCAACAACGGCAACTGCACCGCTGTCAACAAATACCTAGGCGCCATTCTCATCGCTGTTTCCGGCTTCTCCTGCTGCTTTGCTTCCTTCACAGACAAGGCAGTGATGGACAAACACACTATGGGGTGGCAACAAGCAAGGGGCTTTGTCCCTCAACAAGTTCCAACTCTGTGGACTTGTCTGCTTACAAGCTTAGGTTTGGGGACTTTGTGCATGCCTTCTTTTCCTTGATTGTGTTTGCAGTTGTGTCACTTTTGGACGCCAACACTGTCAGGTACTATTATCCAGGGTTTGAGTCCACTGAGAAGATTTTGCTACAGGAGTTGCCTCAGGTTATCGGTACAATTGCTGGAACTGTTTTCGCTGTGTTCCCTAATAAACGCCATGGAATTGGGTACCCTTCGTCTAGTCCTGATTCTTCACAGGATTCGGCGTCGGCAGCTTCCTAAGCTCTTGAACTATGACTTGATTCACAACACTCAAAGTGGTAAATATAGCTAATATTTAACGCCATGGAATCGGGTACCCGTCGTCAAGTTCTGATTCTTCACAGGATTCAGAGTCGGCAGCTTCCTAAGCTCTTGAACTATGACTTGATCACATGACTCAAAGTGGTAAATATAGCTAATAAACGCCATGGAATTGGGTACCCCTCGTCGAGTTCTGATTCTTCACAGGATTCGGAGCCGGCGTCTTCCTATGCTCTTGAACTATGATTCGATCCGCAAGACTCAAGTGGTAAATATAGCAACAGTGTGCGCTCATGCTGGTTTTCATATTGTTTGCTTAGTAGTTTGCCTAAGTTCGATTAATTCTTTTTCCTTCTCTCTTCGGAATGAATGTAACAAGTTTATACTGTTCTAAACTTTCAATTTATAATTTATAACTTGATCTTAATAGGAAAGGAACAATCTTTTATACCGTTTGATAAAATTCGGGCGTTAAAATTAACGACAAAAATCAAAACTGACCGATAAGATCGACAAGCGAAAAGTAAAACAATTATGTTGAATTTTCTTGCATGAAAAACAATCCAAGGAAACCTTGTAATAGTTTCCGTATGTCGTCATACTAATTGAAACAAAATCAATGCCACTAACAATACAATCTATGAAACTGGATCTTATGCACGCTGCCGATGATACATAAAACTCATAAACTGTTCCTTCTGTTTTCATTTACAACAGTTGAGGTGTGTACTACCAATCTAAATGATTTTCAGCTTATATGATGTCAAAGATATTATATTCTTACATCAGCAAACAATCCATCTAAAAGGTTAGAAGATGAATTGTCATTTCCACTCTCATCAAAGAAACCATTAGCAGCAAATTCTTTTCTGCATTTTCGCTCTTCAATGACGGAATCTGCTGTTTCTGCACAAAAACTTTGTCTTGTCTGCTTTACCGGTTTCTCTGCCACAATAAACTTGTTCCCTTCACGAGTCCTCTCAGGGAAGCCAGCCCAAACTGAAGATAACCGTGGATGGGAAATTTCATAAGTTGTGCACAAGAAGAATCATAAAAGTAGTGTGAAATTATGACCACATGTGGTTGGCATGGTTCAAAAGGAAAGATTTTCTTATTCTGATCGGGTGTCTGTTATGAAATGTAAACTCACTTCTATTAAACAGTGAAATAATCAAGTTAGAAAGAAAGGAATGATTATCTTGTGCAATACTAACTCTAAGCTGGTACAGTAGTTCCAGTCAAAGTTCAAACAATTTTGGTCATTAAAAAAAAGTTAACTGATTGACTGATCTTGTTCTAATTTTCTGCTTAGATAGGTCTTAAAACTAAAGGCCAACCTTAACCCACCTCTCCAAGAATTTGACTAGTGGGCGCCAAGTGACAGAATAAGACCCAAGAATTTATATTGGGAGATGTAGAAAACTCGCTATTGTAAAGGTCGATAAATGGTAGGATGGGCAGACAAACGACTTGAATATAATATTTAAGATGAATTCTTGAGAAGGATAAATGAGGTTTGGTGATTGAACATAATGACATGGGAACTTAGAAAATGATATTTGGGCACCAACTAGATTCCAAGACAATAATCAAAACAATTCATATCATCCTAGTGAAGTTAACTTTTCTTGCTTATGCAGTGAAACATCACATAAAAGCGCATGAACCACAAGGCCTAACAGAAGAGAAGAAAACAAAACGCAGGAGTACAGGCTATGTTTTTATAGTACCTCCAAACTGATGCAGCACGATAGAAGCTGCTACGGTCACATTCAAGGAAGCAGTACCACCTCCATACTGCGGAATATACACAAAGAAGTCACATATCTCCAATTCTTTAGCAGAAAGGCCCGTTCCCTACAAACAACACAAAGAAATATATAAGGGGATATTCACCTAATCCTAATGTGGCTAATTTACAGGTGCTTAACCGATTGCAGAGTAAAGTTCAACTCAAAACTGAAATACAGGGAACCAGATTGTTAAATTGCAGTGGAAAAACCTTCTCAAACTATCAAATTATATCAAAAAAATCCCAACAAGCAATTACCCAAGAACCCATGATCAAAAGTACAATACTTTACAAGCCTAAATACCAACAATAAAGTTACTGATCCAAATTTCCAATTAAGTCAATAGTTACAGAGCAAAAAACCCATATGGGTAATTGTAAAAAAATGATAATTACCTCATTGCCAAGAAGAAAAGCAGTGCTCTTGGTGAAAGGGTGATGATTTACAGGCAGAGCATTATCAGTGATCTCAACGCCGCAAATATCACAATCTCTCTCCTAAAACCCACACACAAAATCGAAGATTAATACCAAAATCAAAAAAAAAATGAAGAGAGAGAGAGAGGGAGAAAGAGAGAGAGAGGAGACCTTGAGGTAGAGGCGAGCGTCTTGGAGGGAGTGGAAGTGGCGAAAGCGAATGTGAGAGGTGGAGCCATGGCTGCCGAAGGCGTTGAATTCTCTGCGGCCGACCAGAATTAGTTCTGAGACGCCGAAGGCGGTGGCGCTTCGGGCGAGCGTGCCTACGTTGTGCCTCTTGGCTATGTTGTGCACCACCACATAGCACTCTACCTCCATTTTCCCCCTTTCGCTGATTTCAGTTCAGGAGGCTCAGTCGCCGCCAAGTCCAACCATAAGAAAGTAGCACAACCAACCTAACAAACTAATGACCTAGTTTTAGATTTTTGTTCATTTATATTTAATTGTGTTTAAACCCTAAACCCTAATTTTTTTTCAAGGAAATTTTGATTTTGATTGTTTAAAAATCATAACTTAGATTGTTGTTTACAATTTTTTAAAATAATAATTTAGATTATTTTTGTTTTTTGATAGAGTAGAATTTGGATTGTTGTTCATTTGCTTAGTTCTTAAATATTGTCACTTATAGTATTACGGTTTAGTTTGCGAATCTCTATTTTCTCATATTTGACGCTAAGTTATTGAAATTGTATCAATTTGTGCACTTTGTTTGATTGGTTTAGGACGTGGTGAGCTTGAGGTTGTTATATGAGGTAACGTGTAAGCCATATTTGCACCACATTTGCCAAAAAGCTCATCAATTTAATGGATTAGACATCATCCAAAGAGATAAAAGGTGTGAGTTCATACAATTTCACAATGACGAGAGGGTAGTAAGCTATTTTGAGCTTAAGACGTGGGTGTGGGCTTACAGAAACTTCAATGTACGATCAGTTGCTTGGATGATTTTGAGTATTGGCACTGCAGATGAATTACACGAGTCGGATTTTCTCATCTACGAAATGGACGTAGAAAAAATGGGTACGGAGGAATTGCAGATTCTGCTTCAAAAGAAATCAGATGGGAAACGCTGCCTACTTGTTCTCGACAATGTATGAAATGAAAATCGTTAAAGTTGGCTTCAAATGAATAGTTTGTTAAGAGGTGGTGCCAAGGGAAGTAAGATCTCCGGTAACAACTCGTAGCACCAAGGTTACCTTGGTTATGGATATAGATTCACCGTACGTGCTGCAATGTCTACGAGAGGAAGAGTGTTGGACATTGTTCAAGAAAATGGCATTTAGACAATGAAGGGAGGAGGAGAACTCGATGTGGTGCCAATTGGAAGAAGAATTGCAAACCAGTGCCAAGGCGTTCCTCTTGCAATAAGGACTTTGGGAAGCTTGATGAGATACAAAACTAGCGAAAGCGAGTGGTTGGCGATTCAAAATAAAGAAATTTGGGAGTTTTCGGAGGAGGAGAACGACATTTTAGCAATACCGAAGCTAAAGGTAAGCTATGACCACATGCCAGTTTATTCGAAACAATGGTTCTCGTACTGTGTCTTGTTTCCTAAGGAATGTGAAGTCAAGAAAAAATTGTTGATCCAGCTGGCCAACTTCTTCTCGAGTAATGCAGGAAGATTAACACAACAAACTCAAAGAGTTTGTATATGAACTAAGTGCTATTAATATGAAGAAATGTAGAAGCAGAAGCAGAGTTTTAGAGAGAGAATAGAAGAGGACAAAGAGAGAGAAAGAGAGAAATAGGAATTCTGTATTCCTTAATGATCAAGTTTACAATGATTCATGTGAAGGTTTATTCTACAGTAGTACAATACAATCCTTAACTATATTAACTACTGACATTTATAACAATCTAATATAATATTATAGTATTAAGTGACACATGCCCTATTTTGAACCATTCACTTATACACTTAACATTCCCGCTTAAACTCATGATTGGAGGATCCAAGCATGAGGTTGGAACAATGAGTTTGAATGACTGCAAATTGCTGATTTAAAGAGGTCAATTGAACAAAAAGCTTCTTGACAGATGACCATGATATAAGATTGTCTCCCTCAATCTCATGGTTGGAGTATCAAAATATGAGATTGTTGCAAGGAATAGAGCACATTATCTTCAACGGGTGATAAGTCAAACTAATACCTTTGTCGTCAACATCTTTAGATTTAATGCAGTTCATGAAGAACATATTTTGATACGTCATGAAAGACCGATTGAATTCTTCCAACCAACTGCACAAGTAATCTAATTATAACAACAAGAAATTCCAACTCAAACTGTAAAAGCCAGCTCAGCAACCCAGCAATTAAGAAGGAAGAAATCAGTCTCAAAGTACATCCAAGATAAATGTTTCTGAACAAAAACTTGGGGCCTCCGCCTTTGTCAGTAATTAGCATATGATATGCTAGCTTAAGATCAACAATACTTGCACCATCATATAACCTACTCAAGGTATGCATTTCACAAAGTGTTCCAATGTTGTCATAGTCTTCTTGCCAATGGTAAGAGCATATGTTTGATAAGGTATTACATGTCTCCAGAAGAATGCCACCAGTCTCTGAATTTCGTAGAGGGAATCGTGTTGATTTTTGATTAGGTGATTTGATGGTAAGATCAGATTTAAGTGATGGAAGGTAACTTGTAGAATGGCACAAAGAAGTCGATACATTGATTTCATGATCTGAGCACTGAAATGATGGTGTCAATGGAGTGTGGTGAGTGTGGTTTTGTAAATCATACAACTCAATAGATAAAATAGCTTTCTTTGTTGCCACCATTTCCAACTTCTCACCAAACATGCTTTCTATTCTTTCCTTATCAGCTCCTTCACTAGTCATGTCATTAGTCACATCATGTTCTATTGGAATATAATCTCCCTTCCTGCCATAAACATGATTACATCCACTGAAGCATCCATCATTGGGCCAACAACATTCACAATATTTTGTCAATGGAGGATGAGAGTCAAGAATTCCTTGAGATATTTTCAATGTACTTTGACATAATTTAGGGGCTAAGACTGAAGAGTGAGTTTTAAGTATGTGATAACAATGAGCAGCAAAATGACCTTGTGTGAATTAGGATACGAAGATGAAGGTGAGTCAAGAACTCCAAGTGAAAATTGAGGAAAAGACTTGTGAAATCCCGTTCCCAGAATTTCACTATTCATTATGTATCTCGTAATTTAAGTTCGTATTTCATGTTTACGTTATTTTTATTACTTAATTTTAATTCCGTAAATTTTGGGAATTAAATCGAATAGTTATCGAGTCTGAATTTTCGAAATCAATCTTTATCTTTCGTTGACTTTTCGAAGTTTTAACTAGTGTTTTTAAATAGATCTCGAACCCACGAACGCATAGGCGAAAGCCGTTTGCGAGTCTGAGTTATAACGATATAGTTACAGACGTTTGAAGTTATGAACTATAGATTGTGGGAATTATTTAATTCCCACATGTGGGTTAAAGGGTAAGTTAGTTTAAAAGAGGACCAAATCAGATTTTTAGAAGGGGAAAAAAGGACCAATAAGGGAAGAATAAAAAAATGGGGATTTTTCCCCTTCCATTTTCGTCCTCCCGTGCACCCACAAACCCGACTTCAACTCGGCTGAATTTCGACCAATCTCCACCATTTTTCAGGTCATTCTCAACCCTCCACCACCTGCAACTTATTCCACAACCTCTCATCTACCTTATTTGCTCAAATTGAAGGGTTTTTAAGGATAAATTCAGGTAGAACTCCACCGGAGAACCCGGGGGTTCTCGACGGTGATTCGTCGTTCCGGTGAGTATCACCATGCACCATCACCCTTGATCAACTTCTCTTGGACCCAAGAACAAGACCCAATCAGTTGTAGGGGTGTTGGAACACCAAGGAAGCCGAATTGAAGAACACCCACCTTAGGGTTTTCGATGGGTGCAAGCCAATATGAGGGCCTTCCCGGCTAAATTAGACTTGGCCACAGGTATAAAGTTTACTCTACTTGTTGAGATCTTTATTCCTATAAAATTTGAGAATTTTTGGAAAAAGTCGAATTTTCCGGTGTGTGACATCCGATTTATGAAATGCTGATGGTTAACATTATGTATGTATAGTCTTATTTGAAAATTACCCATTTATCATGTTGCATTTTTTTTCTTTAAAGTTAGTGAATGCATTAATGTAATGTTGATGATGGGGAATCGACAATTATAGTGTCCCATAATGTGAAATTCTTTCTCTTCATATTTGGTACAATTTTGCTAGAGTTGTTAGTATGCATTTTGTCAGACGTGGTCCAGATTTTATCCTTGTGATGACAGTGAATAGCCATTGTTAATGAGCATATTGATTCCATCTCATTGGTTTAGCATTATCAGACCTTTCTGCTTATGTTTGAAGTTGAACGAATCCTTATATGTATGTATAAATTAATGAAGGGATGAATTTGTTTCCTTATTTACCGTATACATATATCTATGTATGCATATTCAAAGGAACTTACTTATATCCCTAGATATATATATACTAACTGCTAAGGCTTTTGTATACAGGTACATCTATATTTGTAAGTAGCATCTTCACTTATTTTCTCTAAGTGTTTTCATTCAAATGTTACATTTATTTTGATCATGTTAATACAAGTTAACCAAAATAGTACTTGGATCTCATAGTGTGAATTAGTAGTTCCAAGTAATCTAATTAAGCCTAGAGTCGGAAGTGATGCATTTAGTAATTGCATATACTTGAGAATAGGAGTTGATCAAGGTGATGGATGCTTGTAGTAATAATTCGAAACAATGCTTTGGAACCTAGATGGGAAATACAGAAATGGATGGTGTATGTGCTCATGTTGTAAATCATAAGTGTGGAGGTAGAAGGTAAGCTGTGTGTTGGTTTGATAGCACCATGTAGCATTGGTACATCGATAACCCTACTTGGTTAGTTATCTTGACCCTGCTTGGTTAATCCGCGTTGGGGGGTCACTAATGGTCCTGCTTGGTTAATCCACTTTGGGGGACCATACTATATATGGATTGCGCTTGGTTAATCCGCGTTAGGCAATCCTTATGGCCATGTATGCTTAGGAGTGATCATGCTTGGTTAATCCACATTGGGTGATCACTTCCTAACAGTTGTAGGAGTGACTCTACTTGGTAAATCCGCATTGGAGGGTCACTTCTTACTTGGTTACTTTCTCAGGGGTGGCTCTGCTTGGTTGATCCGCTTTGGGGGGGGGCACTTCCTATTTGGTTACTTGCGTAGGCTTCGGTCGAACGACATCTTTCTAGCTCTATTTTGAGTATATCCATGAATTTTAGCTTTGAGAACTTTGAGTTTGATTTAGAAAAGTCGTTGGATGTCTATGTGACTCTTTCGAAGTTTGCAAAGGTTTGGTATTAATTTCTTATGAATGATTTAT